CTATTATTTTTAATTTAGAATTTCCAACAATTTGGTCGCCGGAAGTACAGGGGAAGCTGAACAATTCATCGCAGAGAAATGTAAAAATCCCGATTATAGTAACGCTTTCCTCGAAAGCTTAAATAAAATGCGAATCAGTCGAGAGGTAACTATACACTATGCAGCTAGTGTTAGTAGAATCTAACATATAACCATTTGGTGTTACAGAATTGCGACTTTGCTTTGGAGGTAGGGGGCGAAACCATATATGCCCACAGACTGGTCCTTACAATTGCTTCCCCCTATTTTGCAGCCTTGTTTAAAAGTAAGTAGTTTCACAGACTTTTCAAATCATCTTTGAATAGAGTGCATCTGAACTGCTTTAGATGATGCAAAAGAAAAAGCCACAGGATTAGTTAAATTCGAAGATGATGACGTAAGCGCTGTAAAAACCATCGTTGAGTACATCTACTCTGGGGAACTACCACTAACTGAGGAAAACGTTCAATCGATTTGCACAACATCTGACTACTTACAGATCGAATGGGTAAAACGGGAATGCGTGGATTTTCTTAAACGCAATTTAAACGCAACAAATTGTCTCCAGCTACGAACAATCGCCGGTAAAAGAATGAATTCCTGCTTCTGTTCCTAGAGTACAAATATTTTCTTCTTGCAGAAAAGTCACCGTTCGAAGAACTCTATGAATGCAGCCACAATTGTATTTTAGCAAACTTTGCCATATTAATCGATAAGAAGGAATGGTTAGAGCTGCCCTTTGAAGTGGTAAGTAAATAATTGAAGCATTAACCATGAATTGGGCGTAGTAAAGAAAAGAACGAAAGTCATATTGGTGTTGTTTGCCTTTGTAATAAAAGGATGTTAAGCGACATCTTTGGGATAAAGTCATACTTGCCTTCCACGGACCCATTTCATTAGTGTTCAAAAATTTTGTCAAGCAGATAGAATGTCTTTTCTTAAGTACACTTTCAACGCCTGCTTCATGTTCACCACCTAAGTACGCCTTTTTTGTACCGGTTTATTGAAATCATGATCACCGCCTGAAAGTATTATAAAAATGTTTGAATGTTGTTTCCTTTTATTGTCGTTTAACGAACATTTGCAGCTTCGCTTGAGAAAATTAAAACCTTCTCTTACATAATTACATTATTTGTTGACCGAATTGTGGTAGACATATGTATCTCTTCGCAACAGTCAAGTGAGCGTGTTTTCTTGAATAGAGAATATATCTCCCAAATTTTATTTATCTGAGGGTTTCCTAACACCTTCCACTAGCATTTCGCTCCGATCGCTTTTTTCTGATATCTAAAGAAAAATTGGCATAAGAAAGCACAGAAATAAGTTAAACAATTAGAAAATTATATATTTTACCGAACATCCGGACGAGAAGTTCCAAGCATCGTTTATCCATTTGCATACCACAACATATTTGATATTAACTTGAGTCGTAATATTTTTAAATATTCTTTTCAGATTGAAGATTTAATAAAAGACGACAAACTTTTAGTACACCGGGAAGAGAATGCATACAAAGGAGTAATGAACTGGATAAAGTACGATTTGACGAAAAGACAAAATTATCTCGCAAAGCTAACGCGCCACGTTCGCCTGACTTATGTTAGAACTGAATTCTTGAGAGATCACATCCTTACCGAAATTATGCTTACAAGCGATCCGCAATGCAATCAATTTTTAAATAAAGCCTTCAGATATCAGCTAACACCACGAGCCCAGCGTCCATCCAGCGCCCAGCGAAATCGAAATGGAAAGTTTCTTGTTGTGTTCGCTGGTGGTGCGGATATAACGACTGAGATAGTGTATCGTAATTGCAAAGTCTACGATTCAACCGATAACAACATGTCGCCTATTCCAGACATGCTAGATTGTAGATATGCACATTCCGTAATCTCTTTAAACGGTAAGGTGTATTCAGTGGGAGGATTTTGCGATGATACTGGGAAAACCGCGGAGTGTTACGATCCGGTTGGTAAGAAGTGGACTCATATCGCGCCCATGAGCACTGAGTACTATGACTTTGGAATTTGTGCTTGTGATAATCTGATTTATGCTATCGGTGGCGAATCAAGTGTTGAAAATTATAATGCGGCCACCAACACATGGTATACGTGTCCAGATATCCCTGTTGAGGCCTCTTTCTGTCGTGCAGCTGTGATAAAACACAGCATTTATAGCTTAATTAATCCAGATGATGGCATTGCTTCGTGTTTCCGCTTGGATACGAGGGAAGGACTATGGCATAATCTGAATGAAATGCCATGGGGTCTAAGGAACGATTCTTTTGAATTTTTATCTTACGATAATTTGTTGTTCTCTATTGCGGAGAATTGCTCACGCCTTGACATACGGACAAATAAATGGGAGGCGATGCCTTCTATGCTTTTCGAAAGGTTGCGTTTTTCAGCTGCTATCATAGCAGAAGACATATACGTGTTTGGCGGTACGGGCAGAGATAGGAAGTACGTTAACAGTGTAGAACGCTATAATATTCATACTAATGAATGGACAGTAGTCGACTCGCTGGAAGTTGAAGTATATGAAGGAGGAGCTGCAGTAATCAGCGGCGATTTTAGTTTGAATTGAATCCTGAAAACTAAAAACTGTCTTGTATGAATTCTAATTTTTAATTACTTTACAAACAACTATAACTTTACATAAGGAAATGTTTAACGTAAATATA